CATCCCGCACACACGAGTCTCTACCCGCCCACACTCGCCCATCAAGTGTTGTCCCGCGCCACACTCTGCTGCTTTGGGTCCCACAATAGTGCAGGTCTCTACTCGGAAGGTGCCTGTTATAATGTTATTATGGAGGCTCTGGACTCATAAATAGTTTTTCTATAACAAACTATAAAATATTTTCTATAAAAACGTTAATGTCCTGGCAGTGGTAAATAGCTTTGGTTTTATATTTAATTTGATTACATTAATGCTATAAGTTGAGATTTACAATAAATATTTTAACTGCTATTATGTAAAAGGAATACTGCTGTAAAAAAGCACCTTATTTGTTTAAAGTGTTTGCAAACCAAATGTTATTGCACTTTTGTTCATTATAGCAGTACTTTTAAATGAAAAAAGTGCACAATGAATTTTGAATTCATTATTGAATTTTGTGCATAACAATGAGATTAAAAATGTTAATCATTGCCCAGCACCAGTAAATACATCTAAATGCCACTTCAGATGCAGCTTCTCTGTTTCCTCTGCATTACAAAGATGAATTTTGTTGATACTGATTTAATTTGCTTGGTAACAGCCTAAGGGCCAGTTTTAATAATAACAGCTTGCGCCAGTGCAAACCGTCTTTTGGCATTAAAATTGTACTGTCAAGCTTTACTAAAGATGCGCAGTGATGAATTACAGTAGCACTGAAAAGGCATGGACACAGAACATGTTTGCGCTTGAACTAATTGAATACGCATTAGTAGGAGTTTCCATTTCAGACGCAAAATTTATAGGAGGAGAGTATTCAAATGAATCACGCAACGCGTTTAACTAACATTTGCGCTCATCAAATTACTGGCATTTGCGCCATTATTTAACACCCAGAAAAAGCATGTCTTAAACTTTTGCGCTTGCAATGGCTGCAATTATTGTTGCTAGGAGGAGGCACCACAGAGAACAGAGCGTGTGGTAAGGGAGAGGTATTCCACACGTATTTATTTATTTTGAATGCCAGAAGAACACATTATCTGAACATATCGTTCGCCAAGATATGTTATTTTTAATTTGCTTCAGGAAATAAAAGATGACTTGGAACCCTCAACTAGGAGTCACGCAATACCAGGTCTATAAAAGCTTCTAGCAAACTTTCATTTTTTTGTCCTCCGGTTCTTTTCAACAAACTGTTGCTTCTTTATTTCTTTATTCTTTATTTGCAACAACGCTAATTTGTGCTGTGCTTGGTATATTGCGTTGGTCGATATGTAAGTGAGATGTTGCGTCTCTGTTCTTTAATTTGCACATTGTTAGTAAATCACCCGCAGAAATTCCCCCTCCCATCGGCGCTGTTTTGGAATTGCGCTCTTGCGCTAATTTGGCCTGTTTAGTAAAACTGGCCCCAAATGTCCTATTATTCTAATTCACTGATTAAATGTAAGAATTTGACTTAAAAGATAATGGACACTTTTAGAAAAAATGGCTTTATAAAGGTAAAAATGCCCATAACATTTAAAAATAAATTTAAACTTATTGGAAAAGATTAATTTCTATCAGTGTGAACTGACCACCACACAGAATATGAAGAATATCATAAATTTTAGGAGTCAGCTGTCCATGGCAGTCCTTAAGGTACCAGCACAATAACACACTCAACATAATATTGTCTAATTATTGTTATCGATAACATTTTATTTTTATAAATAACATTATTATTTTTTGCCAATTTCGCACACCCCTAATATATATATATATGTTAGGGGTGTGCGATATTGACAAAAAATAATATATATATATATAAACTGACCACCACACAGAATATGAAGAATATCATAAATTTTAGGAGTCAGCTGTCCATGGCAGTCCTTAAGGTACCAGCACAATAACACACTCAACATAATATTGTCTAATTATTGTTATCGATAACATTTTATTTTTATAAATAACATTATTATTTTTTGCCAATTTCGCACACCCCTAATATATATATATATGTTAGGGGTGTGCGATATTGACAAAAAATAATATATATATATATATATATATATGTAGCATATGTGGAAGCACTCACACTATTTGATCAGGAGTTTGTGCTCGTAACTATGTAGAATCTGTAGGCTTTTGTGTGCACTGAATACAAACAGCATGTTTGTTCATCTGCCAGTGAGAGTGCTAATGTGTTTGTGTGTGTTTGTGTATGCAGAGCATTAAGAAGCGTGTGGGCTGACCATCCTCCCCCAGCAGAGATTCTCAATGGATTTTTTCTTTCAGGCAGACCCATGGCGGAACTCGAACAGTCCCCCCCACCACCAATAGTTATGCTTATGGTGAACAATTACACAAGCATAACCTGCCTCTTTAATTTAGGGTTTTCAAGATGCAAAGAGACGGTCGAGGATGTTAAATTGCCTTTTGCTTTCTGTTTAAGGCAAAGCTGAAGTGCTGGTGATTAGAAACCCTAGAAGAATAGGACAGACATTTCTTTACTAACAGCAGCTTTTAGAAAAAAAATGCACTGGCTTTGTTTAGATAAGAAAAGGTTTGAAAATGTATGGGTATGGATGGGTTTGTCTTGGGCAAAACAAAAAGAGTATTGAGCAAAAGTGGAAACCAGCCTTTTGAAATTTCAAGCAATGGTACAATACTGCACTAAGCGACATTAACCTGAAAGGCATTCTATTGTAAAGAGTAATGATTGCTCTTTCGGTTTTTGCAGTTGTTTGAAATACTCTAAATGTACAGTAAATGCTGGCAGTAACCCAAAATGACAATGCCACAGGCTTTATTCTGAAGAGTGTACCCTGCAATCTGCAAACCTGACATCTGACAGCTATCTCCACGGTTTGTTCTGGCAGGGTCATAATAGAAACAGCTCCTTTGCAATTAAGACCTTACAAAAAAAAAACCCAAGCTGAGCAACTCCAGCTCTAATGAATATACAGCTGTCTGGCATGATTATATGAGCACTGAGAGATAATTAATCTTGCTTGCTGTCTCCCTGTCTATTATTCCACCCTCGTGTGTTACCAGACCTCTTTCATTTATCTGTGACATGAAGAGCAAGATACGGGACTTGGATAACTGAACATGCGAGATGACAACTCGTGGCATATTGCAGATATTTGATTACCCCCCCCCCCCC